TTTTTTTTTTTTTTTTTTTTTTTTTTTTTTTTTTTTTTTGCTTATTTTCTTTTTTTTTTTTTTTTGCACGTAGGAAATTTGATTGTTACCTATTTTTCGCCATGATAAAACATGCAGACTTCCGAACAGGTGGCCAACAGCGGCTCCGAGGGAGTTGGGCGGGGGATCAGAGTAGGCGATTCCACATACCGGCAGCTCGGACAGCCATAAAGGGGGCAGCAATAGCCGCTTGTCTTTTAGGTGTTGCTCCTCTTCTTCTTTCTTCAACAATTCGTGTTGACGCTTGAGCTTTGGGTTACATAAAATCATTATTAGACATCTCTGAAAGAGATGGTGAGTGTGTGTTTTAGTTTTTTTCATTGTTGTTGTAGTTGTTGTTGTTGTCTTTTTAGGTGAGTGTGTGTATGTGTGTGTCATCGTTTTAATTAATGCAGCAATCGAGCAGAAACCCGGGCTGCATGAGCAACGTGCGCCGGCTCAGGTTTCTCGGGCAGCAATAAAGGGCAAAGAAAAACCCAAGAAGCTGCCTAGACAGAGCAGCTTATGTTATTTATGTTTACCTACGTGATAAACAAGTGTAACATATTAAAATTAACACAGCGTTTTACATGATGACGGCCTTGATTGCTTCTCACACACGATTTGTAAGCTTTTATTTTTCTTTAATTGATGTCGCAAACAATTTTCACACGTGCACTGAAAACCTAGGTGAATTGCACAGTCTATAAAAATAAAAGTTGAAAACATAAGTGTAGCTAGTCTGGATAGGATGTGAATTAATATGCTCAAGATTAGGTATGAATGATAATATATGTATATTATATATTACGTACATATTCCATTAAAAACAGGCGAGTGCCTTATAATTATTTAATTATAGTTTATTTTTATAGAGAAATGAAAGAATAATTGAGTAATTAAGTCTACTAAATCGGAACAAGGTTTACGAGCGTTATATTTTATGTCTAAGAACTTTACGTCGTAAACGCTATGGAGGAAGCTCTGTTATCTTCTATCTGTAGTCTAAGCTGTCTGCTTCCTATTGTTTACCCTAATTCTTTACACTGTTGTTTTATGTTCGCGTGGTATATTCAAATTGATCTGGTAGTCATCTGGCAGTCCAAACATTGGCCCCAACATAGACAGCTAAACTTATTTATTATTTATGTGTACTTAAACGCTCGTTAACAGTCTGTCTGTCGGTCAGGCATTCAGCTGGCTCGCAGAGCACAGACCATTGAGACAAATTCGTAACTGGTTTCTGTTTGTTTGTGTTCCTTAATCGTTTTACAGAGCTATTCAATCGAGTCATAGGCATGCAGAAGCTTTGGGGCACACGCATTGGCATCAACCGCGTCTGGCAGGGCACCTCGCCGCGCGTGCTGCTCTTCGAGCCGGAAACCGTGGAGGTAAGTGAACAATTAGCAGCAGTCATTATAGACAGAGAGTTATATAACATTTACCATAAATAACTTACAGCCCATACTGAACAGTCAAAAGTTTGTGAACAAGAGTCACGACTACGACTATCTGCATCCCTGGCTGGGCACAGGTCTGCTGACCAGCACAGATCGCAAATGGCATTCCCGCAGAAAGGTGAGTCGAGAAACTGATGCATTTGTGAATATATCTATATTTATATTTCATTGACAACTGCAGATTCTGACGCCCGCCTTCCATTTCAAAATCTTGGATGATTTCATTGATGTTTTCAACGAGCAAAGCGCCGTCTTGGCTCGCAAACTGGCCGTGGAGCTGGGCAGCGAGGCGTTCAACATATTTCCCTACGTTACACTCTGCACTTTGGACATTGTGTGCGGTAAGTGTCAATGTCACAATTACATCAAGGCACAGCCAGAGCATATCAAATAACCCACTGCTAATTGCGTCACAGAAACTGCCATGGGTCGCAAAATCTATGCACAGAGCAACAGCGAGTCGGAGTACGTGAAGGCGGTCTATGGGTAAGTTGGACTACAAGAAGAATAGCATAAATAATATTATAATATACAGTTCGAGGAACTAGAATTCAATTGCGTAAGCTATAAGCAAAAGGTTATCAGGGGCAACAGGGAAAGGGACATGATATTGAGAGCTGTCAGTGCAAATGTCAAATACTTTCCCACACACACACACTCCACACTCGCATTATGATTGCGTGTGTGTGCGTGTGTATTTGGGGTGCTCTTCACTCAAGCGAAAAATATGCGAGATTAAGATGTCAATGGAAAATGCTGCTGCTGTTGCTGCTGATAACATGCCTCATAAAACGCACAGATACTCGGACAGGCGGACAAACTGTCAGAAAGACAGTCACAGCGACCGACCGCCCGACAAAGAGACAGACAGACAGACAGGCAGACATTCTAACACTTGACTAAGTTTCAATTTAATGAAACACTTTTCCCATCTATTTGACAATCCTCACGCACACGCACACACACACAGCATTGGCTCCATTGTGCAGAGTCGCCAGGCCAAGATCTGGCTGCAAAGCGATTTGCTTTTCCGCCTCACCGAGGATTACAAGACTCATCAGAGCTATATTAATACGCTCCATGGCTTCTCCAATATGGTGATACGTGAGCGCAAAGCGGAGTTGGCTAACAACAACAATAACAACAACAACAACGAAATGCCCGACGCGTACGATGATCTGGGCAAAAAGAAGCGCTTGGCATTCCTCGATCTGCTGATTGACGCATCCAAGGAGGGCACAGTCCTATCCAATGTAAGTGTGGAGGATCATTAAGAAAATTATTCGACATATGTCATACTCGATTCATATCACATTTATAGGAGGATATACGTGAGGAGGTGGATACATTTATGTTTGAGGGTCATGACACCACCTCCGCCGCCATTTCGTGGACATTGTTTTTGTTGGGCGCCAATCCCGAGTACCAGGAGCGCGTTGTCGAGGAGCTGGAGTCCATATTCGGCAATGACACAGAGACGCCGGCCACAATGAAGAATCTGCTCGACATGCGTTACTTGGAGTGCTGCATCAAAGATGCCCTCCGGCTGTTTCCCAGCGTACCCATGATGGCGCGTATGGTGGGCGAGGATGTAACCATTGGTAGGTAATCCAATGGACCATCTTAGACTATCATTTAATATCTGTGTTCGCTTAGGTGGCAAACTGGTGCCCGCTGGCACTCAAGCAATCATCATGACCTATGCGCTGCATCGCAATCCGCGCGTCTTCCCCAAACCCGAGCAGTTCAATCCTGACAACTTCTTGCCCGAAAACTGCGCTGGTCGCCATCCGTTCGCCTATATACCCTTCAGCGCTGGTCCGCGCAATTGCATCGGGCAGAAGTTCGCCATTTTGGAGGAGAAGGCTGTCATCTCGACAGTGTTGCGCAAATATAAGGTCGAGTCTGTCGATCGCCGCGAAGACCTGACGCTGCTCGGCGAACTGATTCTGCGACCCAAGGATGGCCTCCGAGTAAAGATCACTCCTCGCCACTAAGGCGATAACTTAGCCAAAGTATTTTAACTTGTATATATTTAGTTAGGGTTGATTCTTAAGTAAAAATATGCTAAATTAGCGAGCTCCATTGCCCCTGAACTTCTAACTCAGTGAACTTATTGTTTAGTATGTAATTGTATTATGAATAAACAAATACTTAATCAAAAGACAATTCGTTTTCTTATGGTAATCCTGGTACATATAGTGAATAACACTACATAAGTTAAAGCTGATGAAAATATGCTGAGAATAAACACTTGAACGTTTTCATAGCCTTATAAAAAATTTTGTATTATTATTTTTTTTTATAACATATATTCACTATAAATTATTAATTGGGGAAGGATATCTTATACACACATTAAGCAAACTTACCAAATACATCTGCTATTTGGTACAGTTTCTTGTAGTGCGATTATCCAAGACACCAACCATATATTAAGATCAGAGCACAAGAAGAAAAACACGTGACCAATAGATGGCGCCACTAGTGTCATCCGAGCAAGCTTGAGATTCAATTAACATGTTCTTTGCAAACAACTTTACCTGTGCACTCAACATGTTTTCACTGACTACATTAGAAAATCAAATGGAAAATGGACAACCATCAAGTCATCAACAAATGGCGCCATTTGGCTTTTGGCTTTGCCTCCGTGTGCTAGTGCGTGTGTGTGTTGTGCGCTGTGACCCGTTTCCTTTTCGCAATTGGATCGGCGCCAGGGCTTAAAAGCAACTTAAGTGCGCTTACGCAGTGTAATGCACAAATAAATGCGCACCGCAAATAAATGGGTTACCCTGAGTGGGCAGGGCAGGGCAGGGCAGGCCGCATGGGCTGGCGATTGCTAGTAATATCTAAATGGATATTATGAGCATATGTACATCGAGGCGAAGGCGGGACGTGCGCATTGAATAACTCCTAGTGGAGCTGAAATAGATAACTACATAGATCGATAGGTTACCCAGAGGTAGATAAGCACAGCTGGAGGAGACCCTGGAGGAGGAGGTGGCGGCCAGTCGTCGTTGGCGTCGAATGGGCAAACAATCAATTAGAATGGCAAAATCTTGCTAAATAATAGTAATCCGGCAAACGCAAAAGGGTCTTAAAATCTAATTCCCCAGCGAGACAAGAAATAAGTAAAATATGCGATTGAAAAATGGCAAAAATTTGCCTTTACGAAACAACAATGAGAAATGAAAAGCGAAAAAGCGAAAATTGAAAATTGCACCCGACCGAGGGCCACAGAATTGTGCACAACTTGTGACCATGGTCAACTGCACGAATCGAATCACTCGAATGTTGGCACTTGGAGAGGCGATGTAATAAATCGATTGCCAATTGCAGTTCCAGTTGCAGTTGCAGTTGCAGTTGTTTTATTAATTTATGAATTTACAATGTCAACGATGATTATTTATTTTAGTTTAATGGCGGGCTTAAAAACCAATCGATCAAAACTAGCCCGATTGCCATCGAGTAGAGCGAATGTGTCACTCTGCTGTTGAAACCGGATACTGACAGAAGACATTTGCCTTTCTTTTTCGAATATCTATCGGCTCGCACGATATCTAAGCCATATGTAAATACGCTTTGATTTCCATTGGGCAGGAGTAGCAAATGTCAACTATATCAGTTCGGGTTGGCTACTGAAAATGAGTTTTTGTTTTTGTTTTGCTTCTGCTAATAGAGCTGCCCAGAATAGAGTATGTGATAGGCGTTTGCTATCTATAAAGACGAACCATGGGAAGAACTTAACACTGAATTTTGTATGGGGAAAATTCTTCAGCTTGATATGTTCAATTAAATATTTTCTATTAAAGGAAAGGATAGGACAATATATGAATACAAATCGGAATCTCCAAGATAAGCATAGGTCTGAGACTACATAGAGATAGGGAAGGAGGTTATCAAGAAAGGCTAGAAATACAGATTTATACAAAATTCTCTACTCTTGCATCAACTATTCGATCTATAAAGACATTGGGACACTAATCAACGTTAAATATTATATATTAGCAACTCAAACTAAGATGATAGTGACAAAAGCATATGGTCTCGGAGCAAAAAAAAAAATGTTTTGACGTCTGTCCCGGTTCTGGGCCTGGCAAAAGAGCAGAAGTAATTATGCGTGCCGTAGGCATTGTCATCGCTGCCTTTGAACCCACACTCAGATGTCACTTAAACGAATTGCGCCTGGCACATCAAAACAAATTGCACTCCCTCGTGTATAGCAGGCAAATCTGATTAGAAAAACATTTACAAACGCAAATCGCAAGTTAGCAACAGCCAAAGGAGAGCAAGGGAAGGGAAGGAAATGGAAGGGGAATAAAAGCCACCCTTGGAAAACATTTGATGTGTGAACTTTGGCACGGGCTGGCAAGCGTCGATGCGCTGTAGAGTCGAAGCGTTGAAGCATTGAAGCGCTGGCCAAGGACAGCCTAATTTGATTGACGTTGACGTCAACGCGGCGGCACAATGTGGGAACCGAGCACAAAAGTTGTTAGCCCGCAGCGTCGATGGGAGCTGAGGTGGCAGCGGGGCAAGTGAAAGTTGCTTTTGGCAGTGGCTTTGCGGGCAGGTAGCCAAAAGGCGGACACTGCTGTCGGCACAACAAGAATTCAGAGTCACACAGGCCGGGAAATGATATCCAAACAAACTCAATTTGGTTGGCTGCCAACGCGCGTTTGATAGATTAGCAGCGAGAACGAAAGAGGCGCGTCGTCGATGACGACGACACGTGGCTGGACGCTAACTGGTCCTGGCGGATGCTACTGCCGGGGCAGAGCGGGGCGTGCGCAATGTCTGCTGATACGTTTGCCATTTGATGCCCGAGCAATGGGCGAGCATACAAAATTGATTTGCTTAAATATTTGCCATTGCCGCTGTCTACATTAAACAGCTGGTGCATGGGATGAGCAGAGCAGAGCAGAGCGGACCGGACCGGAGCGGAGCGGGGCAGACACGTGTCAAGCCTGCACTTGCAGTTGCTCTGGCGACACGTGACATCTCGGCAAATTGAACATGCCCCACAATGCCGACTAGAAGAGGAAACAAAGAGTCTAACAATGCAGAAAATTGAAAAACAATCAAAAACGCAACCACAGCTAGAGGAAACCAAGGCTGTAGCTGAAGTTAAGTGCTGGCATCCTGTGCGGCAGAGCAGCAACCCCTCTAGCTCTGTTTCATCTACTGTTTGCACAGAGCGCGCGCTTCGATTCGAGCCGCTTTATTTGGCCATAATTAGCTTAATGCGCGAAGCAAACAACCAGGATATCGAGCAGGACACGGCCGTAGCACACGGCCCAGGATACTCGCTCGTCCTGCTCCTGCTGCTACTGTTGCTATGTTGCTGCTGTTGCTGCTGTCGTGCGTGTCCTTGCTGCCAAATTGCCAGGCCAATGGCAAAGTAAACAAACGTCCTGCAACGCAACAATGTCAACAGAATGCCAGAAAAAATAAGAAAATAAAAGTAATTGGCACGAAACGAATTTTGAGCACTCTATCTGATAGAGAAGTTTTGTAGTTATAACGACACACGAATAGATTAAATCATTCTATAGAATGAATTTATACATATATAAATATATATGTATATATTATTTGTAATTTAAATATTTTGACATTAAGTTCTTTTGATCCAAGTTTTCAGATTTATAGCTTCAAGAGATTATTTTTATTAACAAATAATCTTGCATAGTTCAGACATGACTTGACAGAATCTCAATTTATTTTAATCCGAAAGCTTTGCTAAATTATTGTACAATATATACATATATTTATTTAATATGATTCATCTAGAAATTTATTATCAAAGTTTGGCATTCGAAGGAATTTATGAAAATAGCTGATAAAGAGCCAAAAATAATCTTGAGCCATTTGCTCAAGTCCATGCTCCATAGAGCACATGCTATATAGTGGTTTATATAGTCGAGATACTCTGTTCGCGCTGCATTGTGAGCAGCAGGAAAAAAAATTAAAATCATGAATCCCTTAAAAGGTTCTTAATCTGCGGCTACTGTTGCTGAATTTTGTTGCTTCATTTGCTTCGCCCTCTGCCTTCTCCGTTCTGCCTTCTGCGTTCTGCTTTCATGCTGGCCACCCTCGCCCGGGTGACATTACTCATGCGCCGCGTTGCCGTCGACTGGAGTCCAAGGTGTGCGACGCTCTATCAGTCGAAGGTGAAGCGAGCTGAAAATTCGCAGCAGCGGCTGTCAATGAAGTGTCCAGCGGCTGTCAGTGGAATGAGGCATCATCATATGACCGCCAATCAGCTGCCAAATTGATTTGTTGGGGACCCAGCGTATGGCAAATTGATATTTTTATTTTCGATTTCTTTTCTTTGTTTTTGTTTCTTTTGGTTTTTTGGTGGGTATGCCAGACTGATTTATTAATATGACCGGCAGCAAATGCAACTGGTGACTGTGTAGACTTTTGACTGGTAAGTGCTAACTGCTGACCCTGTCGCGCAGACGGACAGTCGGCCAGTCGGACGGACGGACGGACGGGTCTCCAGGGGCCCTCCAGACGGCGACGACGTCAGCGCCTGTGGGTCATAAATTGAGCAAACATTTCTCTGTCGATGTCGCGTTGTTGTCGCTGTCGATTGCGTGCAATGCAATGCAAGTTTTATGGCACTCTCCGTGATAGCAGGCACAGTTCGAGGGCAAACAACAGCGCTTTATGACAGTAACAGCAACAACAACAACAACAGCAACAGCAACAACAAGGGCAAACAGTGGTCTGCCTTTGGCCATGCAACTGCAAAATATATTTCGCGAGCAAACGGGGAAAGGGCAAGGGATGCGAGGCAATAGGCAACCGGCGCAATAAGCAAAATGTAAATAATTTTTGCTGCCAACAGTAGAGAGAATATACTGAAATACGCACACACACACACACAGAGAGAAATACCTGACGCAAATAAAATAATAAATTTTATACAAAATTGACAAGCTGGCTTAGCCGCAGCCTGTTGCTGATAGCAGCCAGCACAACAGCAGAGGCGAACTGGACGCCAGCTCCATGGAATCAGTTATGGCCAATGGCAATGCGAACAGTAGCCAAATTGGTAGTTAGTGGCCGGCTTAGGCCAGGGCTGTAAAGTTAAGCACATAATTGCGAAATTAAAGACAGCTGACGCTCGGCTGTGCCACGGCCGATCGATGTTGTCGGTT